TGAGATCATATGATACATGTCTTTCTCTGTTTGACTTATTTCACTCAACATAATACCCTCTAGTTCCATCCACGTCGTTGCAAATGGCAAGATCTCATTCCTTTTGATGGCTGCATAATATTCCATTGTATATATATACCACATCCAGAAGCTGGACTTTTAACAGCAGTCCTCTGACCACACATTATCTTTCCATTTATTTGATCATGTTGGAGGCGGGGTTTATGGTTGAGACTAGCTAATGTATCCTAATACAGTCTTCTTCTGAACTGTAAGCAGTTGTGTATATACATTCTACATAAACAATCATCCATTTCTATTACTAAACAGATGATTACAGGGAAATGACATCCATTACTCAAGTTTCAAAGGAAAGTTAAAGCTAAAGACTGTTGTGGCAACTGAGAGATGAGCATAGTGGAAGAGCTCGACAGGTTGGGGTAGGGGCTTAAGATCACTTATTAACAATGAGAAGGCGGGGTGAGAGAAAGTGAGCGAATGTGTACATGCACATGTATATAAATGTGTATGTATTTTGGAAGAGGAAATAGTGGGGAGGGGGAGGAGCTAAGGTCCTAGTTATTGCCAATGAAAACTTTTCCTTTAGAGGAAAACAAAATTTTGAAATAGCAAAAATCATATAAAGTGCTGTATTATTAAGACATATGCCTCTTGCCATGAGGCTGTGAATTAAAGTGTATCTCCTACCATGAGAGACTACGGACTCTGAGAAACAAACAGAGGTTTCTAGAGGGGAGGGGGGTGGGGGGATGGGTTAGCGTGGTGATGGGTATTAAAGAGGGCACGTATTGAATGGAGCACTGGGTGTTATCTGCAAACAATGAATCATGGATCACTACATCAAAAACTAATGATGTAATGTATGGTAATTAACATAACATTAAAAAAAAAAAGTGTATCTCCTTTAATAAGTTCTGCTGGAGATTTTAAGAGGGAATCTCCTGCCCTAAGTCTCTATCTTGGGAGAGCATATAACTTACAGGTACTGGGACACGTGGCCTTGGTCACACCTATCTCACATTTTATCCTGCCTCTGGTCTTCGTAATCTACTCTTCTGGTTCCCAGAGGTAACTTTAACCCAAAATCAACCATGAGAAAATTGCAAAATCTTTACTGGTCTTACACCATCCAGATACTCTGAGGTCTTGCTAACCTAAAGGCGACACAAGCCAGTCAGACAAAAAGGGTGTATTTCAATTGATCACAGCCCTGGATATGAAAATGTTGAACATCTGCAGGTATCAGCCCTGTTAAACAACACTCAGTATGCAAGGGGCAACTTACCAGGTCTTTAGCTTCTGCTAGAAGGTCTTCCACATCAGAGAAGCTGAAGCTGGCCACTGTGATGAACTGGCTGACAACAGACACAAACTTGTCTCCGGGTTGTGGGGGCTGAGACTTTTGATATTCCAGCTCCTTAAACACAGGAAGTGGATAACGTCAAGGAAGCCTGCAAATGCGGACTCACCTTGTCTGATTTTCCATATACCTCGAATTTAATAAGTCAGAATGACGAACACATCAAAACCTACTCTAAAACACTTTGTGATACCCTAGGTCCCCCGGCCCTTCTGTCTACCATGCCAGAGCCATGCCCACGTGCACCCACATATTTGCAAACAGCAATTTAGCCAATTATCTGAGTACTTTAACAGTGTGATTTCTTACACTAGCTTTAGGACGTAAGTAGATTAGCATTTAGATAATTAATAGAAGCTAAATAAGGAGAGCAAATTGGATTCCAAAGGTGTGTGACTGAAAGCAAGGTAGTTTGATTATTGATATTCTATGCTCAGAATTCTGGTTCCTTGATTTTTCCTTCTTTCCCTCCTGCCAAGTCTAATGACTTTCTTCTCCATGCGGATATCTGGGTCAGTGGAATTTCAACTGTAGTGTTTGGCACCATAATCATTTACCATTTTTCTTCTTGTCTATACTATTTTGTTTTTGTGAACAGACAAGTATCAGTGTCTTATTAATTACCCATATTCTCCATTACCAGGGTGATGAACACACAGATGATTCAAATCTAATTTTAGTAATTAATTTCAACCATTGCTAGATGCACTTTCTTAATCCCACCCTCTGTGAGTGAGGGATTATTGTCCTCATTGTACAGACACATAAATTGAAGTTTAGAGGGATTAAATTCTTAGCTCAAAGCCAAAGCTTAGCTCAAAGCTGATAGGTGAAAGAGCTAGAATTTGAACTCAGGTCTGTCTGACTCCACAGTCTCAGCAACAGCTACGCTGGGCACCAACTAACTTAACCTGCACCTATTTTCTTCCATAACTGCCTTGGCAGAGGCACTAACAAGCAGGAGTGGAGAGGTCACAGGCTATGGGTTCTGATTCAGCTCCACCACTGATTTGGTTCTTATCCGTGACAAGTGGCCTGGGCCTCAGTTTCTTCACTTGTAAAAAAAGCAGGCAATATCCACATCACCATGAGAATCGAAGAAATAACACAAGTGGAAAGTTATAAAATATGGAACTTGCTCTGGTTGGAATAAATTGCCACAATTCTAACGCTTTGGCCTTGAAAGTGAGCATGTATGTATGTGAGGCACAGAGATATAAAATTTTAAAGTGTTTCATTCAATGTAAAATCTTATTTCATTCAAATTAAGAACTCCATCTTTGGTATCTTCAAACAATATAATCCATTTGTGTCAAGCACAATTAGGATTCATGAATATTTAGACAGGCCAAGGTCTGCCTCCCATTATTTCCTTCGGGTGCTACATCTTGACATGTATGCTCGGGGAAGGGAAGGTTTCTGTAGCCCCTTTCCTATGAAAAATGTGTTACAGTGTACATGACCCAGGTGCTGGAGAGATTTCAGCACAACTACTTTTAATAGACCCCAAACCCAAAACTTCCTCCCCACCAGGACCCCTCCCCATGCCTTGCTCTGAACTAGCTTAGATGCAAAGGTCAGAGCATCCATGACCAGGCTTTAGGGCTGTTGTAACTGCCACACTAGTCTCAAGAAAGCCTTCCACTGGGAGGAAATGGGAACCAAGAGAAGGCTATAAAACAAGTCTCATCCCAAACTGCCCTTATCCAGTTGGGCCTCTGAAATCTGAGAAGCACCATCCTACTTGCTGCTCACTCAGTGTCTTGGCCTACTGGGGTTGGCAGAAAAAGACTTCATTCAGTTCATCTCCTTTACTTTTGAAAGAGCATTCCCGACCCCCAAAAAAGGAAAGAAAAAAAAAAAAAACAAAAAAAAAAACACAAAACCTTACATGCTCCCTATTAAAAATAAACAAAAAGATTAGACATTGTGACTTTAACTTTTATTATAGAGTTCTGTCTTTAATGACATCAACTGCTTTTTTTTTTTTTTTTAAAGATTTTATTTATTTATTTGACAGAGAGATAAAGAGAGAACACAAGTAGGCAGAGCTGGATCCCAGGACCCTGGGATCATGACTTGAGCCGAAGGCAGCCGCTTAACCGACTGAGCCACCCAGGCGCCCCTGACATCAACTGCTTTCAATGGCATAGTCTTACTATTTAAAAAAAAAAAAAAAAGGAGGAGGGTCCTCATGGCATTGCTGATAAATGATCTGAAAGATACTTAAGAGAAGGGCACCCTTCCAAGCTGCCTGCAGAGCAGTGTCCTTTGTCTAGTGCCAAGCCAGAGCTAGGACCACTCTCCTGAGCAGGTTCCTTGTCCTGACCTGCCTCCTGGCTCGAGGCAGCACTGGGTGGTACCCACGTGGCGCTCGGCCTCCGGGGCCATGTGTAAGCCCACTGACTCCTCTGCCTCCAATGGCGTGGCCTGCTCTCCTTCTACAGAGGCCTGGCCCTGAGACAACCTCGCTCTTGTGTACCTGAGTTCACCCCACCCTCCTCCTAAGTCACAGCTCAAAGTTCATCTCCTCCAGAAGAGAAGCTTCCTCTAATAAATGCCAATCATTCCACAAGCTTTGGACTAACCTAAATCCACCCTTCTTCCTCAAGGCATCTTTGTAATCACTGTGCTTATCTGGATGTGTTCTCAAGAGCAGACCTACTGCTCTCGGCCATTGCAACACCTGGAGGGCAAGGACTCTGAATCATCATGACCTCTGGCCTTGAGAATGGACCGTACACCCAAATGTCTGTCTGTCTGTTCAATAAATACTCCCCAAAGGACCAACTCCGAGACAACAGAGGTCTTCCACTGCTCTTCTGAGAAAGAACATCACTTATTAATAGAACGTGGACACAGAGAGGATCCTTGAAGATTATCTAGCCCAACCTGCTTTAATGAGCCCTGCCTTACAGGTAGGAAAACTGGTGCAATCTTAGGTCTAGCTCCCCGGTTCCTGCTCCCGCGATACCCCCAAGACGTCCTGGAGCTGAATCACCAGGGTGACACAACCTGCCTTTGCTTCTTCACTGCTCTTGTTTTCTTACTTCGTTATTTCTTTAATCAATAAATGTTTCTCCTGGGCATACCACCATGCTGGACATCATCAGCACTAGGGGTAGTGAAGAGACTGGGGCTAAGAAAAAGAAACACATACTCACCATCTCTACTGCTTTCAGGCCACTTCTCAGGGTACTTATTTCTTTGTCTAGCTCAGTCATGCTGTTGTAAATAGTAACATTTTAGTAACCAACATGTGACTTAAATGTATTAAATAGATGATGGGTTTACATATCTCCTGCTTGGAAGTCCACACTAGTTTATTTTAAATGTTTAAAATTCCCTTGCATGCTCCGATCTCACAAAAAGATAACATTTTAAACTTAGGGAATTTAGATATGGAATTATGGTTTCTGTTTCCCACAGCCAGCAGGTATATTTTATAGATTAAAAATAGCAAAATAGAAATGTCTCCCTTCTGTACAAAAATACTTCAGGTTTCAATCTCACGAAAATCTGACTTAAGCAAATTATTATACGTGGAAATAAGTTTTTTGCAATTCACGGCTCCCTTCAAACAAGTAAAAGAAACTCTTATCCACAATCAGGCTCATATTGTACTCTTCATAATAACTGCATTGCTCTTCACTGAAGTTCTGGTCATGTGAATATTATAAGGTGATGGCTTAAATTTATTTTTATTGTAAAGGATTTATTTTTAAGTAATCTCTACACCCAACATGGGGCTTAAACTCAACCCCAAGATCAAGAGTGGCATGCTCTATTGCCTGAGCCGGCGGATACCCTGGTGATGGCTTAAATTTCAATCAACAATGATATTTCTTAAAGTTGTACTAACTAGATTTCACTGTCTTTTTGTATAGAGAAAGTTTCCTGGGCTTCTCCTATAAAACTTTCCATTTGATGGCTTTTAAACATCAGAGATTATTAACATAATCCTCTCAGATAATTCAGATGTAAACAAATTCACCAATATTTCAGTTAACTTTTTAATTTCATGTCTCACATTTCTATAAATTCTACAAAAAGAGGGAAAAATTAGCCTGCTCATCATCATACTTTTCAAAATCACTGCAAAAAGATGCAGTTTTAAATACACACACACACACACACACACACACACATTTTTAAAGGGCCAAAAGGAGGAGGGAAGAACAACAAGGAAAATTGCCTGCTCTTCAGTCTCTGAAAAGTGGTGTGAAGTCTTGTGGTGAAAGTTTGGCAACTTTCCATTTTATTTTTAGTTTCTTCATTTGCATAAAGACTGCTTTCCATTAAAAGGTTGCCTTGGTTTCTGAGAGTGTGTGCACATGTGAAAATTACTAGCAACGTCCTGACATTTAAGTTCTATTTGCTTAGCTTTGTATCCTCGTTGACTAAGGGTGCTCCTACCTGTATTTAATAGAACTACCTTTCAAAAGTACTAGGGAAACCACATTCCTTTCTTATACTCTTAATAACTCAGAAAATTAGGTTTTCTGGAAGTTAAAAATTACATGCAGGAGTAGTCCAAAAGAGCTAGAAAACATATATATTCAAAACCATGTAACATATTTCAGTGACTTGGATAGGATTCAAACTTTACTTCATATGCTATTCAGGGGAAAGCAAACAGAAGGACCCTCTTCATGCAATGCCAGCTAACTACCTCAGTGGCTAAAGCACAGTTCAAGTGATTTTAAAAAAACTAAAACAATTCCCTGTAAGTACTTACTTTACTTTTGCTGCTTGAGGAATGTCCCGCAGTTCTTCATTTAGATTGAGGACCTTGGGGTATTTATTTTCCACAATAGTTATGAGATAGTGCAAAAGTGTGATGTTCCTACAATTAAAAAACGGAAAAAGTATTAAACATGGTTAATATCTGTATATGATATGTATATTCAAGTGGCTGAACCTGCAAGAATGCTATATTCCTGCATTCACTTCGAAATTTGAAGATTCCTCCAAGGCAGGGATTCTCAAGAGAAGGGAATAGGGGACAGCCTACATGAGATTTACGTAACCATATGACAAAAGGAAGCATATATCTTCAAAAGCAAAGGGGTCAAGATTTACTACTTTGCCTCATAACAAGCATCCTTCAAAATCTGGATGATGGAAATGAAGTGGAACCCCTGCCAGTGGGGACATACCTACCAAAGACAAGGTGTGCCCTGAGGCTCACAATAAGGATGGGGGGGGGGATGGGGACTGAGGGATGCTTAATTCACTAAAAAGGACAGCTATTTTTCACATCTAAAAGTACAGAGCAGCGACTCACTGATAAGAATTTATTGATAATTCTCATTTAAGCTTTTTCAACTCTATGATAACTTTTCCCCCTCTGACTCATTTATTTTGCTAGCTTTCGTCCCCTCGGACTCATCTGTTTTGCGGTTGTAGCAAAGGGTGGTCAAAAAGTTAGGAGGTCCCCTGCTGTAGGGCTGGGCCTGGAAGTGGGCCAGGACTGTGCCATCATGACTATGACATCCTTGCAGCCAAGAATCCACTTCCTAATTTTAGCAACACTTCAGCTCCTAACTGTATAACCCAGCTCCCTCTTTGGTGGTGACAGAACTGAACCCTGACTGACCTGGTCTGAAAAAGTGGATGCCTGATAACACCGTCTGTTAGGCCAAGCGGTGGTAGTCCGGTCCCGTTGTCCCTGACTCCAGGGCACATTACAGTCACCTGGATCCCAGATGCCTGGGCCAACCCGAGATTCATTTCATTGGAATGGGGGTGGGGCTAGGCACGAGTATTTTTAAAAACTCCCCAGTAATTCTAAGAGCCAGGATCAAGAACCACTAGTCTACTGAAAGTTACCATAATCAAGAGGACGTAAATGTATTTCTTTAAAGACATGTTCATAATTTTTAGTCAGTTTGCTAATTTACGAGGCTAAGTCATAACAGCCGCACCCACCCCCAACTAAAGTGAAGCAGAGTTGTCAAATAATTTCCTTTCCCATAATAATGAAATGGTTTTCATTTCTGGTTGCCCCTGCATCTTCACAGAAGTCAATGCGATCCCATTCCTCTGAGTCAACTGGCCCACGTGTGAAAAAATTTTTTCCTTCCTTTTTCTTGCTTTCAAGAAGTAATTAGAAAACAATAGCTCAGACAAGTAAAGCAGTGGCTAATGATTCTGGCCATTTACTTTGCAGATATTGAGCTGTTATCCTTCCATTCCAATGTTGCTGTTCACAGAATCTGAGTGTCGGCCCAAGTGCCTCCTGCAGAAGGGACCAAATCCCAGCTACCATTATGAGAAAGGGTAGAGCCATTTCTCTTCATTCTTTCACAGAGATGCTTTGTTGTTTAGAGAAACTAAATTTAATTAACCACATACTTTTCTTAGTGTAGAAAGACTTCATACTCGATCAGAACATTCACATTTATTTGCTATCCAAATAACACCTCATTTGACTGAATATAAATTCTTGAAGAATGAAAACAGCCACACATTTGATTATTTGCTGGTATGACCGGAAACAAGCATTTAAAGCAGAGTGAACGTACCCTACACTGCTAACTGTTCCACTCTCATACGGTCTGATTAGATTCAACTGAGCATTTACTGAGTGACTGCTTATAAACAAGGCACTCTGCTAGGCACTATGGGTTTATGAGACACTGGTACTATTTCTAGGGACCAAATATTCACAGGAAGAAGAGGAAAAAGAGATCAGAAATGTTTTTAATTTATTATTTTGAAAAGGCTTGTGTATTAAATTCTATGGTAACTTCAATAAGCAGATAATTACATAGTAAGTGCCAGGTTATCAGTAATGAGGGGGCGGAGGGTATCAAGGGAAAGAGAGAGAAGGAAGAGGGGGAGAGGGGGTGAAAGAGAGGGAGGGGGATGGGGGAGGGAGAAGGAGAGAGAGAGGACTAACTGGTAGTGAGGGTCTCCTTCCTCTCCAACTTGCAAGCCGAGTTGAAGAAAACACCCTTCCTTAAAAAGGTGACTGCTCTTTAAATGCAGCTAAGATGTTGCAGCTATCTACTACAACTTCCAAATAATCCATCTGTTGTTGGAGTAGAGCTGAGGGCAGCAGAACAGGCGTCAAAGACCTGCAGAGGCCAAAAACCTTGCTTGTGATCTTAGGCAAGCTAAATGAACCACTTGACACTGCCTCAGTTTCTTTATCTGACAACAGGCGATATAGCACTTTGGCCTGTGTATGCCACACGATCAAATACGAAAGTGCGGGCGCCTGGGTGGCTCAGTCGTTGGGCGTCTGCCTTCGGCTCGGGTCATGATCCCAGGGTCCTGGGATCGAGCCCCTCATCGGGCTCCCTGCTCGGCGGGAAGCCTGCTTCTCCCTCTCCCGCTCCCCCTGCTTGTGTTCCCTCTCTCGCTGTGTCTCACTCTGTCAAATAAATAAAATCTTTACAGAAATAAAATGCAGGGGCGCCTGGGTGGCTCAGCTGTTAAGCGTCTGCCTTCGGCTCAGGTCCCTGGGATCGAGCCCCGCATCGGGCTCCCTGCTCTGCGGGAAGCCTGCTTCTCCCTCTCCCGCTCCCCCTGCTTGTGTTC